GCAGGGCCCCGGGGTCATGCTGGCCATGCGGGGTGCAGAGCCGTGGCTCCCCCTGCGCTCTCCTCCTCTCTGCTCCTGCCCAGTCTTCAGGGCAGCCTTCCTGCCCAGGGCCATCACCCCACTGCAGCAGCCCCAGCCCTGGAGATGTGTGACCGAGGGCCGGGGCAGCGGTCAAGCCAGGTCCCTGCCTGCCTCCTTGCAGCTTGCAGCTGCAGCTTGGGGAGCTCCTCCGTGCCCAGGCAGGGCCCCGCTGGCGGCTCCCCATGAGGACGCACCATGCTGGACCGGCACAGTGACATGGAGCCAGCCTGCCCCGGGGCTAGGAAGGGCCTCGTCCATAGGCAGCGCAGCCCAGCACAGCCAGGCTGGCAGCATGTGCACCAGGGCAGCATGGTGACGGGGGCCGCCAGGACACGGGCACGAGCTGTTTGCTAGGCCAGGCCCTGCTCCCTGCACCCAGGGCAGGGTGCAGCTGTGCTCGCTCCCCTCGCAGGCTGGAGTCCTGGTGCAGCAGGTGCATTGCAGGTTCCAGGGGCACAGCCCCCTCGCGCCCTCTGCCGGGCGCTGCCGGGCACTGCGCCCCATAACGAGCGACCCGGGGGCAGCGCGCCCGCTGGACTGGGCAGAGCTCCCAGCTGGGCTGTGTGGCATCGAAACCAGGCCCGGCCTCGGCTTCTCACTTCCCTGCTGCTGGGTGAGCGTGGGGCCCTTGGAGAGGGCTGGGGGCACAGGCACCTGCTGCCCACAGACCTGCGCCCAGGCCACGTCCCCTACACACTGCGCTGACAGCCACAGGCTACAGGACACGGGCGGTGTCCCTGCTGACACCCACCGGCGCCCATGGCAGGCACAGAGGCCCTGCTGCTTTCCAGCAGGCAAGGAGTTAACTGCAGGCCCAGACCTAGCACAGGTGGGTCCCAAAGCCTGGGGCTGCTGGCACCTTGCAAGAGGGGACTTTGCAGCTGGGGTGGGCTCAGAGCCCAGGGGCTGGCCCATGCAGGCGTGGAGGGCAGGGGCAGGGGCTGCTCAGTCTGTCCGTCACAGCTCCCTGCTGTGTTTCCCGCTGGCAGCCTGGCAATTGCACGCCTGGCATCTGGCGGAGCAGGCCAGCTGCTGCCCCAGCCCGCCCATCGCCCATCACTTGGGCACCAGCGCAGCTCCAGGGGCAGTGTTGGCGCGGAGCCCTGCCAGGGTGGATGCATTACTCTGGGTCCATTCGGGCAAGCTGCCATGGCTATGGGGAGACGAGCAGGCGTCTGGCCTATCTCTCCCAGGGCTGCCTCTTCCAGGAGGGGAAAGGCAGGGCTCCTGCACCTTGGGCTGGCAAACACCCTGTGAACACAGCTGCTCTGCCCTGGGCAGCTGAGGGCAGGGCTGGCGTGCGGCAGTGGCGGGGGGGAGCTGGTGTGGGTGGGCTGTGTCCCCCACACGGGGAGCGACCGCTGCTGGCTGGCAGAGGAGAGTGGGGGCCGTCCAGGCCCCAGCGATCCCGGCGTCTCTGGAGAGGCAGAAAAGCCTGCCCAAGCCTGGCCTGGGGCATCCTTCCATGGGAGGGAAGGAGGGGGAAAGGGTAACCCCAAGTCCTGAGCACAGACCCCCAGCCACTGCGGCAGGGCCCTGGCAGGACCGACCACTGGGCTCGGAGGCTGCAGCCCCTGGCCAGGCCTCGGGCCAGGGTAGAGCCTGCCATGGGCCCAGACTCCCTGTGCAGTGACTGTGGCCGCCGACACGGTCGGGGCCTGCTCAGGCTGCGGTGCAGATGCTCTGAGGACCAGCTCGAGCTGTTCCGCTCCGAGCAGGAGCCCCAGGGCCGCCCTAACACCACGGTCAAGCGGTTATAGTCCCTCAGCCCCCGATACCCCACAGGCTTCGCGGCCCTGCCGTGGTGGCCACAGCGGTCCTGGCCAGGCCAGCTCCACCGTGGCCCTGGGCAGAGGCAGGACGTTGCAGCCCAGGGCTGTCCGGAGGGGCTCCGCGCCATTCCCGTGATGCGCTCGGTGTGAATGCTCGTGCCCCGGTCCGGCCACACCACACAGGCACCTTGCTCAGGGGCCACAGGCGCACAGCGGAGTCCAGCTGCTGCCAGCAGCGTTGCTTTGCGCCTGCACCTTCCCAGGCGTGTTGCACCCCCGCTCGGCCCGGCCCAGTCCCCCAGGCAGGGTCATACAGCACCTCGCAGGCACCCTGTCGCCCTGGGGACAGGATCTGCATGGGTATCTCCTCCATCCCTGACCGGCTGCAGAGAGCCGGGCAGCCCCACAGCACCGGCACCGCTGGGACGCCGCTTGCGGGCTCCATTTCCAAGTAATCGATACGCACAAAAGCTGCTGACACACTCCTGGCTCCAGGGCAGGGTACAAATGCAGGCACCGGAGCCGGCATCTCCACCCCAGCCTGCTCCTCCCTGCCCCGCTGGGCTCCCGCCAGGCCAGGGCAGACCTGGAGGAGGCTAAACACATGCATCACACGCGTCGGGTGCTTTGCCTTCCCCCCAAGTGCATCCAGCCCTAGGACCCGCACCCTGGCTCCCACCCCAGTCCCTGTGAGCTCAGCCAGCCCTGGAGACCAAGGGAAAAGCAGAGGCTGAGCTGAGGAGCCAGGCACAGGCATTCGCAGCCCTGGGCGGCAGCATGTGGCTCTGCAGCCTGCAATAAAACCCAGTGCCCCTGCCCGCTCCCCTCTCCTGGCAGCCCCGCGGCCCGGTGGGTCTGTGCGGACCATGGGTCGGGGCGAGCACGGCCGCTGCGGAGGGGATGCCGCTCCCCGCGGAGGATGCTCGCTGCCTGCAGCCCGTGCATGCAATGTGTTCAGCGGACTTACCCAGCGAGAAGAGCAAGCTGAGCCCCGAGAGGCACAGGCAGGGCTGCAGGAGCCACGGTCCCCGGCCCATGGTCAGGGCCCCGTGCGTGGAGGTGGCTGTGGGCCTGGGCTGGCAGGTGGAGGTGGTGGTGGGTTTGGTTTTTTCAAATGCACGGCTTTATTTCCAGGGCACATAGAATATTAGAGCCGCTTTATTTCCAAAGCTCCAATATGGCCGGACCCAGCGCAGCTGCTATAAAAAAAATGGTGAATTTTATGGTTGGTGGATTTCATCAAAGGAAGTGGGAGGGCAGAAACGTGTCTCCTGAAGGAGAGGACCGGCTCCCGCACCCCCGTGGCTCAGACCTGGCCCAGGAGCGCCCGCTGGTCCCTCATCCCCTGCGATGGGCAGGGCCCCCTTTGCTGCACGGCAGTGACCCCCGGGCTGGACGGAGCCCCTTGCAGCGGTCTGTGTGTGTGCTGGAGCTACGGAGCTGCCTCCTGGCTCGGCCTCGTGCACCTGGGCCCTTTCCCACGCTCCCGACACCACCCATTGCCTCGGGTGGGCGACCCCGCCTGCCTGGGCCCTGCCCTGGAGCCTGGGGGAGGCGAAGGGGCAGGGGGCTGCAGCCAGGCCCAGGCTCAGGCTCAGGCTCAGGCTCAGGCTCCACAGAGAGGCAGCCAGCTCGCCGGCTCTCTCCTGCCCAGCTGTGCACATCTGGGCACCCATAGGCCCTGCTTGCAGACCACTCCTGGGCGCTGGCCTTGGTGGGGCAGATGGTCCCTACCTTACCCTTCTTCTTCCAGAGGCCGAGCTCCAGCAAGTCTCGAGATGCCCATGAGGCCTGCCCTTACTCACGGGGACGCGGGGAGGGGGCACCTGGCAGAGGAGCTGCTCCCCCCAGGCCATCCGCACTCCCAGCAACAGCAACCAGCTTCTATCCCGCTCAGTGCCAGCCGTTTGCCCTGACGCTAGCACTGCTCAGCACCGGCCTGGAGCAGGACAATGCCCAGGGGCTGAAGTCCTGCAGATTGGGGCAGCTCTGCCGGCCCCCATGAGCAGACCCCGTGACACAGGCCCCCGGCAGTCCTGGCACAGCCCATAGCTGAGCTGCTGCAAAGGCATTGTGGGCCCTGGGCTCCTTTGCCTCCTGGTGTTGGAGTCCCCAGGGCACGCTCGGGCCAACCCTGGGGGGCTGGCAACTCTCCATCAAGGAGAGCTGAGCCTTTCTCGGAGTCACAGGACTCCCGGAGCTGGGACTTTACAGGCCTCGCAATAGAACCATGGCATCGGGGGCTCACAGGGATTAAGCACACACACGTGTGCCAGGCAGCTGGCCCTTGTGGGGCACGTGCAGTCAGTGGCAGCAGCTCTGCCAGGGCACGAGCGAGTCATCAGCTCTCTTCTGCACGTCCCCCTGCAAGCAACG